AATTCAAGATTACAAGTAATTATGCATAAGTACAACTTATCAAAGCTCGATGTTTGAATTCGTATAAATAGCTGCGAATAAACATAATCAAATAGATGATGAACATCTCATTTTAAAATATAAAAAATCTAAAATATAAAAAATCTAAAATATAATTAGAATAATTATCGAGATATTATTAAACCAAATATAAATTACTTCGTTATTGTACATAAATTAAATTATAAAAAAATTGAGTTAAAAAATTAAACAAAAAAATGAGGAATTTCAAATAGTTAATTTAATACTAATATCAATATATTTTTGTCAAATTTTTATGATATCTTCAAACATATATTTTATTCAAAAATAAAAACATCATCGCTTTCTCAAAATCACATAAAGCCATATTATAACATTGGCTGAGATAAAGAATAAAATGAAATATTAAAATCACGATGTATTTCGTTGCATTGCGCGAGTACGCTTCTAGTGTGTGTGTGTATATATATATATGTTAGTTTGATAGTGAGTTAATTGTTTAGAAAGTGACTTATTCAATAAACTTTTTAGGGAGAAGTTTATGCAAAAAGTCAAGTTTTTTTTCCAAGCCTATTTCTCTCGGTTAAAAAACATGTTTCTTTCATCTATGAAAAAACGCTCATAAACAAAAACATACCCAATCCATACAAACTGATTAATCCACAACAAACAATTTTATCCATATAATATTTGATAGAAAACCAACCAAACAACCTCCAAGTATCTCAAGCTTAAAACAACATGCTAACCCAATAATATTTAAATTAACTTAAAATCATGATCAAGTTATTGATATCTCACAACTTTGATTAAGGATCTCACAAGTCTACTATTTTATCCATTGAAACGGGTTGTTATAAACTGCACAGTGGTGGATCCAAGAAATTAATGGAGTGGGAGCACGTTGGATGGGACTTGTGGGGTATCGGGGGAGCATACGGTCATATGGGACAGGGGGGAAACCATGTAAGACGAGAGTAAAAATAGAAAGTTTAAGCTAATCAATAAAGATTTTTGGTTTTTGACTAAGGCCTTTCCCCCCTGTGCTTAAGGGCTAGATCCGCCTTTGACTCCCTTACTTAAATAATTGACATCTTTGTCATACATTCCCAGAAGCCTCTTTGTAATTGGTAATACGAGATTCACCTAAAATGACACAAACACCTCATCAAGGACTCATCATGCTGATACTATTTTGTAACGCCCCAAACTTAAAACAACAGGTTGAGCTAGTAACTTCAAATCAACTGGAAACCATGGTTGAAGTTATATGTGGTCTACAACTTTGAACTTATAACAGCTCAAGAATCTACCTTTTTTCTTATTTCATGTGGAACGAGTTCTTATTCAACTACTTCTGTTTTTATAATTACATTAATCTTATTCAATTTTAATTACATTTTGATATTATAAAATTTATTTTTGGAACAAGGAAAGGATGAAAATACAATTCTGACATGATGTTAACCATTTTAATCGTTATTGATAATTTGTTGTATGTAAATTAATCTGAATAGGAAGAAAGTGACGAAATGGTATGATGAAGAGTATTTATTGTATTAATATAGTTATATGATTATCATGTATATGAACCAATTTATAAGTTTACTTTGTGGAGTTCAAATGCAAAGTGTTTAGTAATTGTATGTATTTGAACCCGACATTAAGAGTTTTTGTCAAATGTTTTATAATACAATATAGATAACTAACTGACATGCAACTGTATGTAGATGGAAGGGGTTCGAGATTAAGTTCTCAACTTAGCTTCACCGGAAACTCTTTTTCTCAAATATCTGAAGAAAGCGATATTGCCAATTCCCTTATGTTTTCCTCCTCGTCGTCACACAATAAACGAACCAAGATGGACATGAATGGTCTCAACATCATGGAGTCTGAGGTACTTAAATCTTAATTCTTGTAAAGTTATTTAACATTTTTACTACGCGTGTTCCAATTATATGAAATAAATAAAGAGGTTTTTTTTTAGAATACGTGGAAACACATTAGATTACCTTCCAAAAAAGCTCTTGAGAATATAAGAGAGATTCCCATATATGGCAGAGAAATGGTTTAAGTATAGCCGATATAGGACTTTAACAGTTATTATGAATCCTAAATGTACTGAAAAAAATATATATGTATATGAACAACTTAAATTCTGTTTCAGCTTAACTTCGGGTTATCGGAATCCGCTTTGGAGGCAGCCGCGATGGAGAAGATGATGGACCTTCCTCATGATTCCGTCGCTTGTAAAATCCGCGCCAAGCGTGGTTGTGCAACTCATCCCCGGAGCATTGCAGAAAGGGTAAGTCCCCGTTCTTGTGATAAGATAAGATATATCCATTTGAACGGGTTTTAATGGTTTATAACTTTTAATCATTTAATTTTTATTGCATATCTACTGATTCTGGAATATTATATTAACGATTCTTGTTCTTTTTACGTTGATGTTGATGTAGGAGAGAAGAACAAGAATAAGTGGGAAATTAAAAAAGTTGCAAGATCTTGTTCCAAATATGGACAAGGTAACGATAATATATTATTTCATGTTGTTAGATAATTCTATTCATATGGTTTCACAATTGATATTTCATATCGAACTTTAAAAAAGAACATCTCATAACGATGCCGAATCCATGAATAATAGTGAAAATTCTTTTTTTTGCAGCAAACGAGTTATGCAGACATGTTGGATCTGGCAGTACAACACATAAAAGGTCTCCAAACTCATGTCCAGGTCCGTATATGCACTGATAGAGGGAGGGTTAGGGGAAACTCTTCAAAAAAATGAAAGACTAAAAGAACATCTTGCTAACCATTCATCTGGACGATATACACATGTGTTACAAGTAAATGAAGCTGTTTTTTGTATTTTATGCAGGTGTGCATGTTATGCATATGTGCATACGGGACAAATTACTTACAAATTTCTTGTATGCACATGTGCATAACGTCCAGATGAACGGTTACTAGGGTGTTCCTTAGTTTCTTATTTTTTTTACTGTTTTCCAGAGCACCTATTGTATAGCTAAAAAAGAGCACGGTAAAATAGTCTTTTAGCTTAAAATATTAATAAATAAAAAAATCTTGTAATTAATATTATCTTTAATATCTGTTAATTGTCTTTACATGTGAAACTTCTACTTACATAACGGCATTATTTTAACATATCTTTCAAATACTGTAACATATGTATATTGTTACTCGTTTACTAGAACTGATGTAAATCTTTTACACCGGCATATGATAAAAACGTACATTTTCCCATTTCATCTATTTAGCCTATCTCTACGTAAAACGTTATATAACACAAGTCTTTGACTTCTTCTGCAGAATCTTAACCATGAACTCGAAAACTGTTCATGTGGATGCAAACCAAGATGAACGATGCGTGATTACGATACACTTTAAGGGAAGTCTTGTTCGGTAATATATCATGTCGACATCGACAATGATATGAGTTTCATGGCATGCATGAAACGGAGTTGTTGTGTACATCGAAAGCAATAAAGTTGATTTCAAGCTTTGGTTTAGTATACTTATTTCATTGCATTCTTCAGTTAACAATGGGCTTTTGATATTCATCTAATTTTTGTTCAGGGATATTTATGTAATTATAATTTTGGTTGACGTTTTTTGTAATTATAGAATACAGGTCTAATTCTTAGGTATCAGTTTACATGTTGTGACCAGTATTTTTATTCGTACATTGTTTGAGTGCTTGTCATTTTTATAAAGCATTTACCCGAATTAGGAAATGAACTAGAATTGGCAAGGGTCGACATACCTGTTATGGCATTGCACATCCTGATGACGATTACCGCATTCCATACACCCATTTGGTGCACCTTTTACATTATTCTACTAGGTGGCTTTGTTCCATACTATTTTTTAACCCCAATTCTCGAATCCAAATATCGAACCATTTGAGACCGTAGATCTGGTACTTGAGGTTACAAGCAATCTGGTACGTAAAATAAAAATGTATATATTATTAAAAACCAAAATATTTCTTGATGGATGTTTAGTGTTCTAGCTACTATATGTAAATTTATTATTATAAATTAATATATTTTCTCATTAGTAAAAAAAACTCGGCATTTAGAGGCAGTTTACTAAACGCTTGCTAGGTTAAGTGAACACCAAGTCACATTATCTTACCGGATGAATATGGTAAGAATTATAAATCTTACCTGGTAAGAACGAGACAAGGACCAAGAGTCCTACCCGGTAAACGAGGTCGACGACACTTATCATGATAAATGTTTACCGAGTAAATTGTTGCATATGATACCGTTGTGGTGGACTAAAATTTTAACCAATAAGTAAAATTTTACCAATTTATATTCATTTATGTTGTATTTAAATAATTGAATTTTGTGATATAATTTCTTTATTGAATATTCCTTTTCACAATCCCCCCTTCTCCTTTCGTCATTGTAGTTCTGATCATCGTAAATGTTCAATTGCCTTTGTACCTACTGTGTGTGTGTGAGAGAGAGAGAGAGAGAGAGAGAGAGAGAGAGAGAGAGTATGGAGGGAAGAGAAGGTCAGAGCTCAACGGCAGCAGTTCGATTCACACTACCACCATCTCGATTGTCAAGCGAAGACATACTCTTCTGTATCGATGTCGATCCTGAAACCCTCGTTGAAATGAAGAACACCAGCGTCAGTGGCAGACCTTTTACCAGATTGGAATCAATCAAGCAAGCTATTCTACTCTTCGTCAATGCTAAGCTTGCTATTAATCCCGATCACCGATTCGCCTATTGTGCTCTCGGCAAAACCCCTTTTTGGGTAATTATTTTCACCTCATTTCTCCAATCTTCCTTTCATTGTTCTGAGTTTCGATTTCTTGTATGGTTTCTTCTATTTGCTTATTTTGGTGACTTATGCATGTTTTCGGATTTAGTTACCCCTTAGTTTCCAAAAAGAGGATATTCTTTTTTTGAATGCAAATTCAGTATGAAATGTGTTTCAAATCTAATTTCCAGGATGATGATATTTAGAGTGAAATTTTTCTTGAGAAGTTGGTAAATTTATTCCAATTTTGGCTGGAAATTAGTACATTTGATTGTATGGGCCAACAGACCTGACTAAGAAAGATACAGAAAACCCTAGGATACTTAACCTAATTTTATGTTCTAACTAATTCTGTAGACTTCGCTTCTCCTCAAGTTGGAGAAGTTGAAAGGCAAAGCAATAGAAGATTTTAAGATAGAAAGGTAAACGCTAACCACAAGGGTGGTGCCTGATTGGTTTGAGCTTGGCTCCAACAGTCAAAAGTACCCGGAGGTCCCAGGTTCAAATCCAAGGAGGAATAAAAATCCCCTTGTGGCCACGGAGATTCAAATGCGGTTACTCCGGGCTATCTGCAAAGCAGGTGGTTGCCCTAGGATTAGTCGGCTTGCATGGCCGGTTGGATATCTAGGTTAATCAAAAAAAATAAAAATTACTTGCTGGTTGGTCTTTATCCTAGATTCCTAGTCTGTTGTCTGCCCGGAGGAAACGTCATCCCCCTGATCTTACTTTCCTCCCCTAAAAGTACCATTATCTGAAACATTGCCAAAAATAGAAATCTGATCCTGGAAAAGCAGTGACATTGCAAAACATATCTTCCATTCCATCTGGAGGGGACTGAAACTCTGCTCTGCATGTGACTCAGCAGTACAGAGCTGTGATAACTGTGGGAGCATATCAAGTCTGGATGATACTGACACAAAAGTGGGTCACTGGAGTCGAGTTGACAATGGATTTTGTCATATTGGCACGTACGAGTATGTCAGACTGGTTTTGCATCAGACAAACAGGCACTTGAGTTGTTGGATGACCGCCAGCCATAAGTATATCTAGGTTAGAGAACACAGTGGTTTGATGTCACAGGATAATAGGCAGAGTGGAGATAGCAGAAGAAAGATAAGCAAGTCTGCTTGTTTGCAGGTTTTCTTGATTGGCTGACATTGTTCCCTGATCAAGGGGTTGCAGATCGACTGTAACATCAGATCGGCTGGTGCAGTCACAGATTGCAACAGAGCAACAGGAGGCTTAGAGAACCTTTGTCAAGAATGGAAATGGTTTGGCATCCAAAGTAATATATGATGCAGATTCGGATGGCAGGCAGTGGCAGGAGCAATATGCAGCAGGCGCTGAGTGACAGCCTAGCGATGGGACATGAGGCCCAGTGTCAAAAAAATTCAGCAGTGTCGTAAATGACAAAACCCCTACAATGGAAAAAAAATCCTAATGGATCTCTGCTGGTGGTCAAGTGTTGGGGTTGCTGCTGGTTGAGACAACTATCATTTGCGGGCACTAGGGTTTGATGATTAAAACATTAGTTTTATACCATGTGAATGTTTAGGGTCCCTGTAAAATCACGTAATATTGATGACTGCATCTAGTAAAGAAATAGAAAACCAATATTATATATGCATACTAGGCCTAATTCCATCATCTAACCGTTTATGTACACACTGACTTTCTATGAAAACCGAAGTGTATCTTTACCTGGAACATGATGCAGGTGGCAAGTGCTCTTAACTTAACCACTAAAGAACCTAGTAAGGATTGGTATGAGGGAGGTCCTTGGGGAGTTAGTGGTTAAAAACAATGTTTGGTAAGGCAAATATGGGTTATCGCTGGGATTTGAGAAAAGTATCTGAAAATGGGTAGAAGTGACAAGTAATTAAGGACAGTGAAATATGTAAGGTAAAAGGGATGAATTTTTGGAATCCATGCCAACTATGTCTATAGGTGTAATCAACCTCTATGCATGCAGTTGTCTTGATGTCTTACCCTCTGGAGAAAAATAGATTATGGACTACATGGGTATATCTTCTTGCTCATCTCGACTCTCATCTTAAAAAAGCACAAACTACAACAAATTAATCTATATGCTTGAAAGAATTTTTATACGGATTGTATAACACCCTATCCTATGCAGCAAATAAGATCCATTATTTATTGGGCATCATTAAATTACCCAAAGCTAAAACATACGATGGTTGAAGAGATCAATACCAAATAATGAACTAAGTTACAATGGCAAACGAGAAAGGCAAAGAAACCATAGCATCTTATATTGGAACTTTTGGTGGATCTTGCCTCACATGGCATCAGGGAGACCTTGGTGTTATATGATGTCTCGCCTACTTCAGTCACTCAAAATCCAAATAACTTGGCCACCAGGTTCTAATCTAACTGTATGAACATCCAAGGGTACTCTTTAAAATTCTGGATTTCATGACCTATTTTAAATTTTTAATAATAGGTCATGACCAAACACAATGAAAAATGAAATCCAAGCAGGTTAGAATTAAGTGCCTTCTTTTAGAATTTTATCTTCTTGGAAGTTAGAATAAAGTGTCTTCACTTACTATGCATCTGCCTATTATAAATTCATACGGTTAGAATTAAGTGTTCATCAAGTGTTTGACTGTGAAGTTTTTTCTTCTGTTTGTCTCTTGTATATCTGAAGCTTAAGAAGGAGTTTAGCAGCGAAGTTGACTCTGCAATTGCTGCTTTTCGAGGCATCACCGTTGATTCTTCTGCTGGTCAGGCAGATCTCACACATATATTTAAAGTGGCAAATCATGAAGCTAAAAAGTCTCGTGCACAGAATCGAATACTCAGGGTGGTGAGTCTATCTATAGGATCTTCATTTGATGATTTAACTCCTGATGATGCATATGCTACTTTGTTCACTTTTATATAGATATTATAAATATATATATATATAGGTGGGTTATTATACAACCCCTTACATTTGTACAACCAATACAACGCAATCTCAACCGTCCATTTAATTTGATGAATATGTAATTTCATAGAAGTTTTGATTGTTTTCTAATATAAAGTATTGATCATAATTAATGAACCTTATTCATTTTCCATAAATATTTAAATCATAATAAATAAACTCTCATCATTTCTATAAATATTTCAATTTATTAGGTTGCATTGGTTGTACAAATGCGACAGGTTGCATTTGAAACAAACTCTCTCTCTCTCTCTCTCTCTCTATATATATATATATATTTACATTAACTGTGCACTATGACAATTTTGTTTTCTCTTACTTTATATTTTTGTGATGTACAACCTCTATCAACATTTTGTCTTTAAAGTTGGCATAAAAGACAAATGATGAAGACCAAACACTCCAGATTAACACCTCTTAAATATTTAAAAAAAAAACTGCTTCATGTAACTTGAAAAGTGATGCCTATGGCAATGAACAAGCTTGTTATTCAGCAATTCTACCCTAGTGAAGATTATCAGATTATGGTTTGCTACATCTTAAATTGACCAGTTGGTTTCTCTCTTAACCGTGCGTTAATACAAGTGTTGGTTAATTTTTTACCAGCATAGGCTATACAGGGGGACTGTCAGTATGTCATGAACCATCATAACCCTTAATAACAACTATAACTAGAGTATCCATGACTTGATATAATACTTGCAATCATTTTTAGGGTAAATAACAAAAAAAGCCCTGACCATATGCTTGTAAATTTGTAGTCATTGTTAGGGTAAACCTTAACTATCATGATGACTATGCATTGGACCTTTTGGCTACTTGTTTGGCACATTATGGCGGTTGTTTTACACTTTTGCAGTTCATTTAATTTGACCATATACAGAGGACGTGCTATCAGAGGGATGTCATCATGATCACCAGACGATCCCCACACACAAACAAGTGAACTGATTGGCACATAGAAAGACAACTAAGAGAGAGAGAGAGAATACATGGTGCTTACTTTTCTTCAACTATGTCGTGTTGTTTGACGAGACTAGGCAATATGTTGCTGCAAATTTAAGCGATGGAGAAACATAAGCTTTCAGATTAAGATAGACTGAGGCATAGTAAGTGAAGTATTACTTCAGCCATGTTGATAATTAATGGAAGATGTTGTAATCATGCCCAACCATGAAATATTTATAAATGATAACTTCTGTTTTTCTGAAAGAATGTTACAAAAGGATTAAATGTTGAGTATACTAGTCATAGAATAAAAGTAGGGTGGATGAAGACAAGCTAGGGAGCCTTATATGATTAGAAAGTCCAATTGTCATAGGGAAGTTGTATAAGTGATGGTTAGAAAGCGTCATTTACAGGTCAAGCACAAGATGTACCCAATAGGAATAGTGGAAACGTAATGTTGAGGTGGATGTGTGGTTGGTTAGGGGGCATGGGATCACAAATGATGATATATGGGAGAAGGTCCCTTTAAGGAGAATCCAAAACGAGGCAACGTTTGTCTCCAACATAGACCTTTAAATGCACTTCACTGGTTATTCCAACATTAACATTGTGGACATAGTGGATGGAGATTTCCGTTGGTGGAACATACCAAATCCGGTGACCTTAGATAGGATTGTGTGAAATGATGCTATTATGTTTGTGGGGTGGTTATGTTGCCTTTCATGTTTAGCCTGCCTCAATTAGTTTGGAATAAGCTTTTTGTTGTTAATTTCTTAGGAAATTTATAGTTGCACAAAGAACACGTGTTAATCATATTTCCTACCCATATAGAGAAAAAAAGGGCACCCCAGAGTTTTCACACAAACCCAAGATCATCGCAAGGAAAGGGGGGTAAATGACATACCCTTGACACCTGAAAGTGATATATGCTAGTTTCCATGTTCGATTATCGTTATAAATGTTTGAATTTTAATAACCATGCTACCTTGAGTCTTCCCTTTTTTGCAATATGGCAAGATGAGACATAAATTTCAACTTCAAATTGATGAAATGAACATATTCTGGTAATTAACATCTTCTCATAGGCACATCCTGAGTGTGATATATTGGGTGTGTTTGGGGGTTAATGCTTGTAAACTTGACTTTTGTTTGCTATTTGTGGTTCCCAGATTTTACTCTACTGCAGATCATCAGTTGTACCACAACACCGATGGCCCACAAACCAAAAACTCTTCACATTGGATGTGATTTACCTCCACGATAAACCAGGACCTGACAACTGTCCACAGAAGGTGTACGATGGTCTGGTGGAAGCCCTTGAACAGGTCAGTGAGTACGAGGGTTACATCTTTGAGAGCGGTCAGGGGCTGACCCGTGTCCTTTTCCGTCACATGTGTGTGCTCCTATCTCACCCTCAGCAACGTTGTGTCCAAGATGACATCGATATTCCCAAATCCCTCACCAAAAAGTCGCCAGCAGTGGAGTCGGCCCCTGCTGAACAAGAATCCGTTCCTGTCTCCAGTCAGTGACTTCTTTTCGAGAAATGTATATGAAAATGTAAGAATTCTAGACTTTCTAGTGGTTCAAAACGGTTGATGTACCATCGGAGTTATCTTAAACACGATTGGCGTACTGGGTTTCTTGATCATTCACCTCCTGCTTTTAATGGCTCTATAATCTTTCTCCATTGTTGATAAAGAGCTGTGAAATACATCCAGGATAAGTTTCCCGTTCTTGCAACTGATTTTCTTTTTTTAACTGTGGGTGTCCATGTCAGCTTGTGTGTACATCGACTGATCTCATAGTCATGGGTCCCTTAAGATAACACCCAGAAAAATTCCCCGTGACCCTGAAGAAACTCGACCCATGGGGAGGAATCCCAAGGATTGGCCTTTATTTGTCGATTGAACTCGTGTGCAAAGTCCTGATTTGAGTTGAGGTGCCTGGTTACAAGTAGTCATTCTTGTATTTGGTACAATTAGGATCAGACATTACAAACCAGATTTTATATGTTATTTCACATGGAAAAAAAACACGTGTATGCATTGTTTATATAGTGTTGTTATACGTGAAACGTTTTGAACAGTTTTATGTGTGGAAAAAAACTGTTCTGAACGTGTCACATATAAAACAATATTGTATAAATATTGTATTTTCACACGTCGTGTTTTACATTTTGTGAATTTGTATATTCTCTCTTTTTGCAAAGTTGTTTTGAAAAAAAAATGCCTCGGATTGTAATGAAGTTTCATATTTGATACATGGCAAATCATGAAAAAAGTAACGTATTTTAACTTAATTACTATTTTGAGTAACGTACTTTCAAACATTTAAATACCAGAGTAACCAGTTAATGCTTCAACCGGTTACTCTGGTTATGTGGTATCCAACTCGGTATTATTTGTTGAAATATTAATCGGATACCACATCATGCACCACATCAACACGGTAAAACCGGTTAATGCTTTAACCTATTACCCGGATATTTAAATGTTTAAAACTTTACATCTTAAGTATCAAAATAGAAGTTTTAAAACTACGTTACCTAAAATAGGAATCAAGTTAAACTATATTACTTTTTTATGCAATTTTCCCTTTTATATAACAAAGTTATTTATTTACAACCAATGTAACAAACTTCTATTTTTTATTTTATACATATTCTGACACGGAAGTTACTAATCCAACAACATCGGATGATGATGTGGACGTCTTGTTGTCAATTACAAATTTAAATAGCTATACGTGGATATATAGAGCTGGCAACTTCTATAAATAGTTTTAACTGCACAATCAAGATTCAAGAATCGTCTTCTAAACCATCAGACCCTCAAGTTTATCCCACCCCAATGTAGCCGACTGTAGGTCTCCGACAGTTGAACAAGAACGTCCTACACATGCACAGAAGCATCGTGCAGGCGTGCACACTTGAAATAAAGAGCCCAATACGAGCAACCAAAAACACACTGACGTTATCTTCAGTGCCACTGCGGATTTTCTAGACTGGTAACTTCAGTGTTCCAAGCCAAAGGGTCTTTGGCCCAATGATACCCGGATTAATGGCAGAACCAACCTCCCAGGAGGTCAAAGGGTTCAAACCTCACCAAAGGCGTGGAGGATGCATGAGTTCATTTACCGTACATAAATAAAAAACTTCAGTGCTTCATGGGATTAATTGAGGCGAGAAAGCTCACCCAGATACCCAATGATTAAAAGAAACCACATTATGTGTGGGCCTAGCACCACAAAATGTGCATCAAAACTTCCATTCATTCACCATCTACTTCACCAAGAGAAGATTTCAAAAATGTTAAAAGAAATTATGAACCAAAACCATCACAAAACTTCTTGCACTCTCGACTCCGTATCGTTCTAATTAACCAGAAACAGAGATACCTTTCTTGACTTGAAGAAGGGAAGAATGCATGTAACAAACCTTACGGCCTTCATTGTCTATTAAATTGGCTCGTTTTTTGGATCCTCGACTTCAATCAAGTCATCATAGGAGACAGGCACACGGATTCTTTCATTAACAGGTCGTTTCTGTGTCTGTTTCTCTTCGATCCCTAACTCTTCATCTTGCACTACAGGTTTTGCGTCATCTGCTACGGAACAACTTTGTTTGTTCTGATTTGGTGCTTTCCTCAGACTCGGTTGTTTAAATTGCTTCTGCAAAAATAATATCCACCAATCATTATCTTATACTAAGCATTACCCTAATCTAAACACACAATTAAAGAGAATCTGATAAACCAAACCAAACCAAATGAAACCCAACATATCCCACTCAAAAGTATGGTATGTGGGTGAGATGCATGCAGACTTGTTCTCTACTCCAAAGATTAGAGCGGTTGTTTATGTGAATACCCAACTTGTGCAAAAGTGTGAGCAAAAAAGAAGAACCAAGAACAGTAAAAAGTAAGCAACAGAAAAAAGAAAAAAAGGAAATATGCGCATTGAGACATAGAAAAAGTGAAGAAAAACACGGATCCCTCCAACTATCATACGACTCTGATATCCTATCTGCCAGCTTCCTAACCCTCTCTCTGTTCTACCATCGATCTTTCTAACACCCTTCTTCCATCCACAGAAGCTACCGGCCCCTACACCTAGTCTACTACCATAATCCTAGGATTCCAAGAACTCCTATCAAAAATCATCTCCTTGGAAATTTCTAAAGCTGCTATGTAGGCATGAAAGCTAAAAGTTATCGTCATACTTCATAAAATGGGAAGAAATTAGCTAAGTTACAAGGATATGGGGATCGTCTTCTATTGGGCAATATGCAAAATATAGCCTACTTGAATTGCAAATAATGCCGCATTTCACCACAATCAAATTGATGGTCACCCCCTTACTATGGCCATCAGGAGAAATTTATGTCAATGTGTTAAAATCATGTAATCACCTTAAAGCTGCAAAATTACACATTTTTGTTTTTATTTGACTACCATTAATTCGCAATCCAGTGGTGGACTATTCTACACTTGTTAATTGGAAAGACAGATAAGTCGCATACTATAAGAACAAATGATTGCCATTACAACAGATTGTCATCTAATGTGCAAAGGTAACTTATCAACGCACCTCAAATTCCTTCCCCTTTTTCATTATCTCCTTAAAAGCATTTGGATCACGAGCTTTGAGGATGCTCCACAAAATACCACCACCTGTTTTGTGGCGTCTTCCATCAGCAGTTTTCTGACCACCACAAGACTGAATTGCATCAACCTGTTACCATTTCATCATCACTATAAGCAGCACTCAACAATTAAGATCTTCAACAGGAACAACAAATTAAAGCCATATCACACACCATCAAGATATAATAACACAAAGGATACAATTTTATTGAAACCACGTATTTGGGTGCACCAATTGCTTCCAATTATATTTCTTAGAAAGCAACACTGTTTTAGTTTATTCATGACCATTATCTCATCCCTTTACCCTGTATCACATTCGGAAGTAGGTTCAGCTAGTGGTATGACTGGTATCAATCCTCACACAAGAAATACTAGGCCTATAGTCACGCAAGTCGACCATGTTCATAATACAGAATCAACACAGATTACATGAAACTAATTGATAAATAGCAAAGTCAAAGCTATGACTAAAACTGACATACTAACCTAACATGAATTGGAATTATCAGTTGAAATGAAAATACTTTCTAGAAATTGCTTTGTGAAAGAAGGAAAAACCACCAAAATTCAGGTTTGAGATTCTTCATTGTTCATTGTTCAATTTCTGTATGGAAGTGTAAGTATCTTCAGAGTAGGAAATGAAATCCCAAATTCCCAATTAAGAGTCTTCTATTTGGAAAAGAGAAATGCAGAAAAAAGAAGTTTCATAAGTTTGGGACTGGATTCTCCTTGTTTCATTTGTCAAGAGTTCACACACATCATCTTTTGGATGATAAATATTTGTCTGTATTCATACCCAAGTGATGGAACTGCAAAAGATACGCCAAAACAGTTGAAATCAATCTACACCAATAGGAAATTATGATGTAATACATCCAGAGCTCAAGGATCCACAGACTGAAAGAGATAAAATGGCTTCTAGAAGAGAAATCTGCGATTGTAGGGAAACAACATTGAGCATCAGAGACTAGGAAACAAAGTAATCTATAAAAATTGAACACCACTGCAGCTCTAAGCTGTTCCTCTCACCTTCAACTGCAATAAGGAGTGAACTCTTTTCTTGCTTTCCGGTACCATAGGCTATATTGTACACAAAGTTACAATCTCACAAGCAAGGACTAAATTAGGAGACAGAGTATGCCACAAAGCGACTTCCAAGAGCCACAGTTATCAAGCATATGATGGCCTTGGTCATGGTTGCTAGTTCAGTTCTGATAGTCCGTTAAACTCTAACATGAAAAGCTGAAGGCTCTAGAAATCTAGAACTTTCTTAAACTAGAAAAAGAAAAAGAAGCTAACATAATTTGAAATACTAAAGATAAACATATTGAAATTATTGTATACAAATCTTGGAATATTGAAAGAAAGACCCCATAAAAGATGTATGAGTGTGATTATCTTTTTATGCTTCTTCCAAGCCTCACGATCATCCATATTGCAGCATGCACATGCGTGCACACAGCAACACATGCTTGGAACTAATGCTAAAGTATCAATCCCCAGAAACCCAGGTTTTCTAGTTATGCACACAAGTAGTTTATAACAATGCTACATTAATAAATAAAAATAAGGTTGATACATTCTATAAACAGCCACACAAGTTTCACTGGTTCAGAACACAAATTCATGTCACGGTTCATGCAATTCTTTCCTTAGTAAATGATGTTGAAACACTTCATCAAGCATTACAGATTTTCCAGGAAACAATACCTCTTTCACAAGATCACTCAGAGCAGACACACCCAGACAGCCAACCGCAGTCCATACCAGGTAAGACTTCTTTTCTTTCAAACGCCTACAAGTATCTAATACAAATCTGCATACAAGCCATAAGTTTCAGATTAGCTCTCCTTCCTTCAACAAAACAACTAAAATGGTGAAGGCTAATTATCACAATCTGTTCCTGTATATCATAAATTAAGATTTATAATCAGAAAAATGATTCAACTTGAAGTCTAAGAAAAAGGAAGACCAGATTAAGAAACATGATAACATTGACGGAAGATCAACACTCCTACATACAGCAAAACCATGAGAGAATCTTCAGGAAACCCTGTAAATAGGAATTAATGGCAATAGATAAAGGAGCAAAATGTGTAGGCTTAGCATGGTGAAAAATATATAAAGTGAATTACTCTTAAAAGAACCCTAATACTCCCTCTGTCCAAAATCAATGATTCCACTCTAACTTCAAATGTCGTCATGTTTAACTTCAATTTAAAGTAATATGACTTCACTTATAACTTTTGACACCCATTTGTTTGTTACCATAGTACTTTTATACATTTTATTCTAGCTATTAATACTTCTGGTTAAGAGTATCTTGTTTGATTTCAGTATTTCACGCGTTAAAGGAAGATAAATGTTTGAAACAGAGCAAAGTATGGCAGGCACCTGTTAATGTCTGTGATTTCAGACCCTGAACCGCCTTTCTTTTTCTTATTTTTCTTCTTATTATTTTTACGTCTGCGATTTTTACTGTGAGGTTCTTGAGTTACTACATCAACATCAACATCAACATCAATGTTGCTGCTTCGTCCCAACTCAGCTTGATGATTCTTCCCAACCAATTCTCCTTCTTCTACATCAGCCATCTCAACATCTTCCATATCTTCAACATTTTCCACATCAAATATGGAATCAAGCAAGCTCTCTTCTCCCTCCATGAATAACAAGAACTGCAAAGATACCAAAAATACCAATAATTGAACATAAGCAGAAATACATAAACCCAAAGACTCCGTTTTAAGCCATATTCTATGAGACTTGTGTAAACATATCTACCATTAAGATATTCAGTAATATGTTTTCAAGAGAGATTAGCCCAACAAAATAAGAGGCACCTCTAGTTAAATCAGAGATGCGAACAGCAGGTAATAGTTGTATCACTGGTTTAAAAGTCACCTAAAACTATATGGGTATGAGGTTCAGCTGAAAAAAAATCCTCTATAAATTAAGGGTCTATGAGTTATCATTTCATCAACCTGGTGGGCAGTCAACTTTGAAACCATGAATTGCACCTAGTATAACCAATTTGTTTATGGTTAAGTGGTCAGAATGATTAAGAGGCTCTGTATGACTTAGTGCATGATGAAAAATGGCTGTTTGGTAAATGTTCCAAAGGGGCAGTCTGAATGGCAAAAAATTACCATTTTAACCCTATGTATGAGCTAGTGTTGAAATATAACTGGTTGTTAAGTGTTCTGAATTAAACAACCACCTTGCATATACATAACTACAGATACTAATTCCAAGAAATTATAAATTATTTCATTGTTTTGGTTCAAGTTTGGTTTCAGTTCAACGCCATTCTCCACGAGCCTCCCCATGAAATTCCAACTGGTCCTGTATCAGATGCTATCTCTGAATCCAGAGTTTTGCCTATTCCAGATGGGGATCTAAAGTGTGGCTCTGGGGCACAACTCAAAAAGGCGGTACATACTTCACATCTAGTTAGATACAAAATATGAAGCAACTTCATTGCTAAATCATCTTCTTCAATTAGTTCAGGAGATTCTATCAGAAACTAAAGTGACCTACTTCCATGGCAGGTTGGCAATCGGTCTAGTTGGCTCACTTATAAGCTCTCATCGGACATCGATGATGATGATGACGAGCTTGGGAAGACTAGAACTGGTGAACTAAAATGCTTCCACCTTCTTGATTCATTAAGTGATCTTCTAATGGTACCCAAGGACATGCTTCTTGACAGATCAATCAGACCTGAGGTTTGCCTTCTATCTCGGCTTATCTCATTCATAATGAAGTATCCTCAAAATCCACCTGATACAAATCTTTCACAATATTACTCGGTATGTCCATTATGTGAGATAGAATTTAGTAGACAAACAGATGGAAAAAACTATTCATCTGTGAAAACCATCTCTACGGTTGTCTGGCTGCTGCCTGATTTTAAACAATATGATAAATTCAATACCAACCGATACTTCAATTGATAAAGTAAACCTAACGCAACCAAAAAACAGGTTTTTTATATGCGCAAGGTAGTAAACATTGTAACAAACACCATATTACTTAACCAAGAAAATAGACCAAATAGTGGTTTCTCTTAAGCATTTCATCTAATGGGTATTATTACACAAACTTTTAAGTAAAAAATTGATGGGTAATTCGAACAATCATAACACCAGTCATCAAGAATAGATATCATCTATCGTCGCCAAAATCAAAAATAAAAAAAGTTAGAAAAAAAGGGACTGGAGAGTACCTTACAATATTGGGGATAGCAGAGAACCAAAGAAGATTGTAATAAGAAATCACGAGTATAATAACGCTTCAAATACCATCTATAAGCAACTTAGATATTGAATCATCGATCAGCAACTTGGTTATCGAATCCCTGGATGAAACTGGAACACCAAAACTATGTGTACGTATGTGAAATTTCAGAGAATGGAAGAAATCAGAAACCCTAACTTTGAAGAGTGAGGATTGCAGAACCAGAAGAGGGAGTTGCGGTTTTGGGGGATGACGGAGGGATACGCTGATGGGGGAGGGATACATGGAGGTATAACCGGGTTATATTGATCGGGTCGGATGCATTTAAACAATCTAATTTAATTTTAAATGTTTTCGGTTTAAAACCGTGAGATTACTTTTTTACACTTGAAACTTTACAGAAAAAATATTGTGAAGGTTTGGATTTGAGCATAATGTTTTTCTGAGATCCGTGAGACCACTTTTTTATATTTAAAATTTCACAGCAAAAACACTGTGAAGGTAAGGTAACGTCAACGTTCGGATTTGAGCAGCTTGTTTTTGTAAGACCCGTGAGACCATTTTCTATACTTAAAACTTCATAGCAAAAACATTGTGAAGATTCGAATTTTTTTTACCTTCACCATGTTTTATTGTAAAGTTTTAAGTGTAAAAAAATGGTCTCACGTGTGTCTCGCGAAAACAACATGGTCTCACGTAAACCCAACCCTATATATACTTGGGATCACGTGAGATAAGTCTGTTTTCGTGAGACCCATGAGATCATTTTTTTACACTTGAAACTTCACAGCAAAACGTTGTGAAGGTAACGTTCACATTATTTTTATTGTAAATGTTCGGCTTTTTTTTTACCTTCACAACATTTCGCTGTGAAGTTTCAAGTATAAAAAAAGAGTCTCATGAAAAAAGGACGTTGTAATTGGATAATGTACATATTAAAAAAGACTCCATAATCATATTAAATCCAACAAATAAAATGATATCAAGTTCATCGGATTGGGTTCAAATAAAAGTAACCTAATATCAACCTAATACCTATGTTTTGAAAAAGTTTCAACTCGATTAGACATCGGATTATTTCAAGTTGAATTATTTCATATTGGATTGAGTTGGATTTATCGGGTTGGTCAGGTTTTTGAGCACCTTTAAACAAACAGTCGAGATGTGTCAATGATTCAAAAATATTTATGGTGTTTATTCAATGCTTCAATATGTATCCGAAAGCTTTTATGTTTATGTTGTTTTGTAAAATGATGAGTGGTAAAGGTATGTACCGAGTCACAAAATTGGTTTTTGCATGAACTAATCTATATCTATACTATATTATAAAATATTTGACAAAAACTCTTAAAACCCATTTTTTATACATGAAATACTATTTATTGATGCATATTACTTAAAACTCAAGATTACAAGTAAATTGTGCGTAAATACAACTTATTAAAGATTCATGTTTGAATTCGTGTAACTAACTTCAGATAAACATAATCAAATAAAGAATAAACATCTCATTTTAAATATAAAAAAATATAATTAGGATAATCATTGAGTTCTAACAAAATACTTAATTATTATCTTTATAAAAAATTATATTAATAAACCAAAAATAAAAAAATTAATTAAAGAAATACACAAAAAAAAATGAGAAATTTTAACATAGATTAAGACAAAAAGAAAAAGAAACACTAAAATCAAGATGTATTTCGTTGCATTGTGCAAGCACCCTTCTAGTACAATATAACAAAGCAAATCATAAGAAAATAATGGAAGATCAAGCCTTCAAACCCAAAAGAATGACAATATTATGCACAGTTGCATTCCTTAGCATCATCAGTATTCAGTAGCGAACATCTCTTTAAACATCTCTTTAAATAAGATAATAAAAAACTATCTTCTTAAATAATATTACAACAAATCAGATAATTCATCAACGAATAATGCTAATGCAAACGTTGTTACCTAATAAAGCTTGAAAACTGAAACTACAGTAAATATGCCCAAAATTAACACAACAAAAAAATTGAATACCCACTTGAAATTCCACCCTCGTGAAAAAAGTTTGCAAGTCTAAAAGCACGGATCTTACATATAGAATAAGGATACGAACCAGTGATGAATCTTGAACGTGGCCGATGCCGTTGAAGGGGGTTCAGTATATTGTTCGGTGTGTTTGTGTGAAGGAAAAACGTGGATCAATTTATAAGACACCACAAACTTGAACAGTAAACAAGCTTCAAAGTGTTGGAGGTGGTTTAGCCCAATTTAACAAAACACACCGTAGCCGTGGGGTTTGAGAGATTTTTAAACCACACTTTTGAAATCAGGGCATAGAAGTACAGTCTAATTTGATCGGCGCATAAGATTTAAGTCGTTTATGAACTTTAACCTATCAAAATTAAAAAAGGAAATCAAAAATCCCTAAAATCTTAAATTCGTAATTAATAAAATCAATAAATGAAATAATGAATGATGAAATATTGAGCTATTTTTATTATTTATCCTAATACCAAAAGCTAGGGACTAAAATCTAAATGCATCATACATATAGATACATATAAATAGAGGAGCGATCAAATGCAAACCACTCATATTTGTACAAACTGTGGTTTGCAAAGTAAACATTCTCTCTCTCTCTCTCTCTCTCTCTCTCTCTCTATATATATATATATATATATTTGGTCATTTATGTAATAACAGTCTTATAAATATTTCAACAATTACGATCTTAAAATAAACCTCGAACGCATGCCCTCCTATATTGTCTATTTTGCTTTAAAGTCCCATATTAATTTATAAGATTATCCCCCCATGTCTTCGAATCCCTTTTCATTCTTTCTTACATACACTTCCATTTGTCATCATCGACACCTAATGGTGACGCCACCACCATTCCTCGTGCCTCCATCGTCCCTACTGAACATACCCTTCACTATCAGAACTCAGTTACTGATCAATCAACCATTTCCTAAATCAGTCTACCCTATTTTAATCAAAATTGATATGCTTGTCTGCTATCCAAATTATAACATCGATTCTTTTATTTCATAGCAGCAATTCAAAACCCAAATCTTTGCTAAACTTGTTTGAAAACCAACCTTATGGTGAATATAGTGACTCATTTACATGTGCATATAACCCAGAATTTAAAAGATGGTTCTTGAAGATGATAAATTGGTTGAAATATTTTTTTTGTAGATTTTTAGAGGATAAATGAATTTTCTATAAATTGTAGTAAAATTTCTTTATTTAAGAGATTTTAATAAACGAAAATGACTATCTATTAATAAAATGTACCATTTTGTCTTTTTTGCATTTAATAAATTATTTTAATTGTTAATTTTAATAATCGTTGGATTTGAGCTAATCAACGTCTATTAAAATCATTGCTGGTGTGACATGCTGAATTTATCCCGTGTACAACACCCTTATGTTAACATTAATCATATTTGCTACGCTTTCCATTTCAAGATTTGCAATGCTCCTTCCACTATCTGAAACCATATTGTTAAACAATGAGACGATAGATTCTCAAAGTGGTACTGGAAAATGTAAAACGGTTCTGTATTTTTTTGTACCAATAACTCCAGCATGGTTGTACATGATATCGAGTTTTCCTTTCCAAGACAGTGCAAATTGAACAACATATTCAAGATCAGATTCTTAAGAAACATCACAATGTATATAACAACTTCCAATAGATTTGGCAAGACTTGCACCAACTTCATCTAATACATGAGCAACTATAACATGTTCCCCATTCTCAGCCACTAATGTCGTAGTTGCACCTCCAATTCCTCTTGCTCCGCAGGTTACAATTGCAACTTCCCCACCAACCTTCTAACCCAAAACCAGATCCCCTTACATTTAAATTTCAACTATTTTTATCAGTAAAAATACCAACATAGTTTTTTACAGTAAAAATGAGATGTAGAAAAGATAAAACTAACCTCTTTGTTGCTAACTTTTGCCCACCATCATGTTGATGATCGCATGACTCTATTGTTGTCGGTATAGCATGCAAGATTTGAGGTTTATATGGAATCGAGAGATAATGTTGTCTTTGATGATATACTTGCCTCCCATGCTTTTCACATTCTCTTTTACTAAATTGTATCCTGTATTTAGCGTTACTTAGATGGTGTTTGGAAAAAAAACTGAATTAATAGATGTTAAATGGTTGAAAGTTCATACCAATATATATATAGAGGAGCGATCAAATGAAAATCACCCTCATTTGTACAAACCGTACAAACCACCATCATACGTCGATTTCATTGTTTAATCTTATGAAATTTTTTCATAAAATTGTTTAATCTTGAAATTATTTCATATAATACTTTTTTTTTTGATAAATTTGTTTCATATATGGTTATGAAATTGTTTCATATAATATTTCATGAAATTTTAATGAAACTGTTTCATGTATTTCTCTAAAATTAAAATAATGAAGGTGATAATATCCATGATTAACACCCTCCACAATAAAAATGGTTAATCAACCTCTCATAATTACAAAAAAATAAACAAAATGAAAAATTATGATTG